TTTATGTAACCATCACCATGGTCAAATCAGAGAACCATTCCATCACACGCAGGAGCTCCTTAGTGCTCCCTTTATAGATGCTACCCCTTTGTAGCCAGTCCCTGGTCCTGAACCGTGGTAGATACTGATCTACTACTGTTCTCCAGCGCTTTAGTTCTGTAAATAGTTCATAAAGTGCTTTTGAGGTTTTTTTTTCACTCAACAGAATGCCCTTGATTGTTTCAGGTTGTTTCATGTATCAGTTTGTCCTTTCTATTGCCAGGTGGTATTCCAGGGTATGAGATACCACAGTTTGTTCCTTCACTCACATGGGAAAGCTCTATATTTGCATTGTTTTTTTCAGTTGGCTGTTACGTAAAAGGCTGCTCTGAAAATCTGTATAGACATTTTTGTGTGGATAGAGGTTTTCATTTCTGTGGGATAAGCATCCAGGATCGCAACTGCTAGAACATACGTCCTGTGTTTGGCTTTATAAGAAACTGCTACACTGTTCTCTAGAATGGATTTACATTCCCCCCAGCAAAGTGTAAGAGATGCAGTCTCTCCCTCCCCTCATTCGATGCTGACATGTTTTTATACTAGCTGTTTTCACAGGTGTGTAATGATTCCTTATTATGGTCTTGATTGCATTTCCTCAGTAGCTGGTGATGTTACACGGCTCCTCATAGGCTTGTTGCCCATACAGATAAGCGTCCTGAGATGTCTTTGCATGTCATGTGTCCATTTTCTAGTTGGATTGTTGGGTTATGTTTAACTATTGAGTTTTGAGATTTCTTTATGTATTCGAGATATAAGCTCTTTGTCAGATATTTTGTTTGCAAGTATTTTCTCCCCGTCTTTAGCTTGTCTTTTCATCCTCTTCTGGCGATCTTTCATGGAGCAGAAGGTCTTTAATTTTGATCAAGTCCAGTTTCTCGATATTTAAAAAATACAGCCTGTACTTTTGGTGCTGTAAGAATTCTCAATCTTGCTCTACATCATAAAGATTTTCACCGGTGTCTTCTGTGAAAAGTTTTACATTTAAATCCACAATCCAGGGACACCCGGCTGGCTCAGTCAGTAGAGCCTGTGACTCTTGATCTCGGGGTTGTGAGTTTGAGCCCCACATTGGGTGTAGAGATTACTTAAAAATAAAATAAAAAAAAAAATCCACAATCAATTTTGAGTTAATTTTTAAAAAAGATTTTATGTGTTTATTTTTAGAGAGAAAGCATTCAGGGGTAGGGACAGAGGGAGAGGGAGAGAGAGAGTCTTAAGCAGACTCCATGGGGCTTGATCTCACAACCCTGAGATTACGACCCCAGCTGAAACCAAGAGTCAGTCGCGCAACCAACTGCACCCAGGTGCCCCCATTTTGAGTTAATTTTTTAATAAGCTGTGAAATTTAGATTGAGGTTCATTATTTTGCCTGTGGATAATCCAATTGCTTCAGCACCATTTTTGAAAAGATTACTCTTTCTCCACTGAATGGCTTTTGCAGCCTTGTCAAAAATCACTTGGGTATACATGTGTGGGTTTATTTCTGGGTGCTCTTTCTCTTCCCTTGATCTATTTCTGTGTCTCTCCCTCTACCAGTACCACAGAGTCTTGATTACAATAGCTAGATAGTAAGTCTTGGACTCCAGCAGGCTGATTACTCCAACTTTATTCTTCTTTCTCAAAATTGTTTTTTAAACTATTCTTGTTCCTTTGCCTTTCCATATAAATTTTAGAATGAACTTGTCTATGTCTATAAAAGATCTTATTAGAATCTTGATAGGAATTATGTTAAACCTGTTTATCAATTTGAGGATATACTCAACATAGCCTTGCTATGTCTCTATTATGTTAGGTCTTCCAATCTATAAATACAGTACATCTCTCCATTTATTTAGGTCTTGATTTTTTTCTTTCTTTTTTTTTTTTTTGATCTTGATTTCTTTCATTAGCATTTTATATATTTTTTAACATTTTTTAAAAAAGATTTTTTTTAATTTATTTGACAGAGAGAGGGAGAGAGCACAAGCAGGGGGAGCGGCAGAGGGAGAGGGAGAAGCAGGCTTCCCGCTGAGCAAGGAGCCTGATGCGGGGCCCGATCCCACGACCCCGGGATCATGACCCGAGCCAAAGGCAGACGCTTAACCAACTGAGCCACCCAGGTGCCCTGGTGTTTTATATTTTTTATCAGAAAAGTCCTGTATAGGGATGCTTAGGTGGTACAATTCTCCAGTGAAATTGGGCCTGGAGTTTGCTTTTTGGGGAAGTTTTAAACTATGAATTAATTTTTTTTAATAGTTACTAAACTATTTGAATGGTATTTTTCATATTGGGCGAGTTTTGGTTATAGGTAGTATTTCGATCTTGTTTTTTTCCACTTAGCGTAATGTTTTTGAGGTTCATCCATGTTGTAGCATGTATTGGTGGTTCCTCTTTATTACTGAATAGTATTTTATTGTATGGATATACTTCTTATTTATCTATTCATGGACATTTGGATTGTTTCTACTTTTTGACTATTACGAATAATGCTGATAATTCTCAAACAAGTCTTTGTGTGGACATACATTTGCATTTCTCTTGAGTAGATGCCTGTGAGTTGGATTGCTGGGCCACATGGTAGGTTTAAATTTAACTTTAAAATGCTGCCAGACTTAAAAAGTGGGTATGCCATTTTCCATTCCCTTGAGCCGTGTGTGAGAGTTCCAGCATCTTCACATCCTTGCCAACACCTGTCTGTCTTTTTTGTTATAGTCATTCTAGTAAGTAGGTAGTGGTATCTCATTGTGGTTTTAATTTGCATTTCTTTAATGACTAGTATATATAGATAGATATTTTATATATCTATTATGTATGTAGTATGTGCTTATAGGCTGTCCTTTTATTTTCTTAGTTGAAAAGCATATTCAGTTATTACACCCAACTTTTAAATTGGGCTGTTTGTTTTCTTATTACTGAGTTATAAGAACTCTTTATATATTCTTTATATATTCTGAATACAAGTCTTTTTTCAAATATATGATTTACTATTTTGTCCTGGTCTATGACTTTATGGCTTGTCTCTTCATTTTCTTAATGGTGTCTTGTTTAAAATCAAGGGGCGCATGGCCAGCTCAGTCAGTAGAGCATGTGACTCTTAATATCAGGGTCATGAGTGCAAGCCACACATGGGGCATAGAACCTACTTAAAAAAAAAAAAGCAAAAGAAAAGTCAAAGTTAAAATAGCTTTATCAAGATATAATTGACATGCAGTGCACAACACATATTTGAAGGGTTCGGTTTAATATGTTTGTTTGTTTGTTTTTAAGATTTTTAAAATTTATTTATTTGAGACAGAGAATGAGAGAGAAAGAGCACATGAGAGGGGGGAGGGTCAGAGGCAGAAGCAGGCTCCCTGCCGAGCAGGGAGCCCGATGCGGGACTCGATCCAGGGACTCCAGGATCATGACCTGAGCCGAAGGCAGTCGCTTAACCAACTGAGCCACCCAGGCGCCCTGATATGTTTTCATATATGTATACATTCGTGAAATTATCACTGCAATCAAAATAATGAGCGTATAAATCTGTCACCCCCAGACGTTTGTTCACGTTCCTTTGTAATTTATTCTACCCACTTCTCTCTGCTTGTCCCCACCCCCAGGCAACCACTGATCAGTTTTATCATTATAGATTAGTTTGCATTTTCTGGAATTTTATATAAATGGAATCAAACAGTACGTAGTGGGATTACTTTTGGTCTGGTTTCTTTACTCAGCATAATTATTTTGAGATTTGTCTATGTTGTTACAGTAATTCATTCCTTTTATTGTTGAATAGTATTCCATTTTATAGATAGAACAGCACATCACTGCATATTACCCTGGTACTCTCTAAGAATACTGTTTTATTTTGAACTCTCATCAGTGGTATATGAGAATGCCTTTTTTTTTTTTTTTTGAACCCACACGAGATGTTCTCTTTCCTTATTTTATGTTTTGCCAATATCATGTACCATAAAAGCTATCTCAATTTGTTTTTATTTATTTATTTATTTATTAAAAAGATTTTATTTATTTATTTGACAGAGAGAGACAGTGAGAGAGGGAACACAGGCAGAGGGAGTGGGAGAGGGAGAAGCAGGCCCCCTGCAGAGCAAGAAGCCCGATGCGGGGCCCAATCCCAGGACCCTGGGATCATGACCTGAGCCGAAGGCAGACACTTAACGACTGAGCCACGCAGGCTCCCCTCACTTTGCTTTTAGTGTATTTGATGACCCCTTGTATTTTTCCCTTGGGGCATTGCCCATTTTCCTCTTTTTTTTTTTTTTTAAACTGATTGTGGACACTCTTTATATTAGAAGGTTAACCTTTTGCCTGTCACGTGTTGGTATTATATTTTCCGTTTGTAATTTGCCTTTCACTTTTGTTTACAGTCATTTTTTTGCCATATAGAAATTTTAATAGGTTTGGTTTATGTTTTTTTTTTTATAAAGTGGAATTTATCAGTGTTTTATTTGCTGCCAGAAGTATCCTTTTCTTTAAGAGAAACATGCTTTATTCCAGGATTATAAAAATATCCACTTATATTTTTTAGTAATATTAGTACTTATGAGAATGTAAGCTCCACGAAAGAAGGGATCTTTGCCTGACACATAACACACATAACAGGGGCTTAGCATACTTAGTGAGTGAACGAATTGAAAACTTGTACAAATCACCAATTTAATCAGTATGTATTAATCACCTACTCTGTTTGTAGTAATAATTTGCTAGTAATTTTATCACAGAATATGTGACATGTTTGCTTTCCTTAAATGTTTGCAGAAAATATTTGTGGAATAATGCAGAAATCATCTCATATAAATAAAATTAGAAAACTAGTTTTCAAGTGTTTTTGCTTATGCCTTGGAGGAGGGAGCTCCTGAGCAAATATTTAGCAGTGAATAATGGTCTACAATTTAAAGGAAATCCCTATCATTTCAAGACCTAACCTAGTTATTTGGATAGCTACTTCACCTTTTCTAATGTTTTCTGTTTTTCAACAGTTTACTTTATCAAAATGCATAGATGCTGTGATGGTACTGGGAAATTCTCATTTATTCATGAATCGTTCCAACAAACTTGCTGTGATAGCAAGTCACATTCAAGAAAGGTATGACCTTAGTGATTACCTGTTTGGTGCTTAACATTTGTGAGGTTTTTATGCCAGTCAGCATGTACTATTCCTTTTCTGTGTTGCAGAATTTTTTTTAATGTAACATTGAGCAAGACTAACAGCATCAAGAATCAGTACATGTACATTTTGATAGAAATGAATATTGGAGGGTGCCTGGGTGGCTCAGTTGGTTAAGCGACTGCCTTCGGCTCAGGTCGTGATCCTGGAGTCCCGGGATCGAGTCCCGCATCGGGCTCCCTGCTCGGCGGGGAGTCTGCTTCTCCCTCTGACCCTCCCCCTTCTCATGCTCTATCTCATTCTCTCTCTCAAATAAATAAATAAAATCTTTAAAAAAAAAAAAAAGAAATGAATATTGGAAACCTCATTAGCTGGTATCTAATAGATTTGCATCTCGTGCACCTGTAACTTACCCAGATTCAACCATATGCTAGGCAAAAAACAGGGGGAATTATCCAGCAAGGCTGGCAGCTCCTATCACTGTTCTTTGCGTGAGTCTGCCCCAGGGGGGCAGGTGAAATGGGCAGTGTGATTCTGCTTTCTTTCAGCCAGTTGTGGGCCCTGCGAATTTCTCAGGGTGTAATGTTTTGCTGCTCTGGGTGTGATTCTGGTGTTTATAGATAAGGGTTTTTTCTTGTTAATTGGGTTTTAACCCAAGCCAACTACTCCATCTGGTGCTCAGCTGAAGAAACAGTGACTTTTTCCAACATGGGTGTAAACACTGGCTGGGTTAGAGTCTCTTCAGGATGGGTGCATAGGTTTGCAGCTGCTTTGCAAACATGACCATGTATATGGTACATATTTTCACCATATTTACTTTTCATATATATGCTGACCACAGAATCATATTCTTCATGTAAGACATGGCTCTTCTATGTCTTGATTAAATGTCACATCTTGGTAGAAGTGACTCTTGTGTACCAGTGTATTTCATATGAGGTCAGTGGATAGTTCTCAAATTTCTCATTTCTTAGGGCTGCTCTCTTTGGTGTGTTGAAAGAGCCTATGGGCCCCCAGGCAAGTGCTCCTGCTCCCATGATCACCATACATTTTTCTGAGTTGGATGAAAAAGATGACACCGATTTGGTTAAGACATCAAAAGAAAAACTATAAAAAGCAAAGTATTCCAACTTTTAGAAAAATCAGATATGTGTTTTTACAGGAGTACTATAAAAATCATGAAGCACTAGGAGAATCTTTTCAGGGACCCTTGGAGCAGATTTTTATTAGATAAATATACCTCAAATAATAAACTGGTCGTAAGTTAGAATTTGGTATGACTCTCTTCCCAGTTGGCATCTGAGAAAGTAGAATGAGAATGACTGTGAAGCATTTCAAGAGACTGGGACCCAGCACATGCATTATTTCCTCTCATTTGTTAGAAAACAGTGGGATCATCAAAACATTCTCTGGTGGTAGACTCATGTTTGCCAATTTGCCTCTTTTATACATTTCTTTTTTTTTTTTTTAAAGATTTTATTTATTTATTTGACCGAGAGAGCACAAGTAGGCAGAGAGGCAGGCAGAGGGAGAGGGAGAAGCAGGCTCTCTGCTGAGCAGGGAGCCCGACGTGGGGCTTGATCCCAGGACCCTGGGATCATGACCTGAGCCGAAGGCAGCCGCTTAACTGACTGAGCCACCCAGGTGCCCCTGTTTTATACATTTCTTTTTTTTCTTTTTTTAAAAGATTTTATTTATTTATTTGACAGAGAGAGCGATAGCGAGAGAGGGAACACAAGCAGGGGGAGTGGGAGAGGGAGAAGCAGGCCTCCCGTGGAACAGGGAGCCCGATGTGGGACTCGATCCCAGGACCCTGGGATCATGACCTGAGCCGAAGGCAGACGCTCAACGACTGAGCCACCCAGGCGCCCCTGTTTTATACATTTCTTAAAAATGAAATTTATTATAGAGTCTTGTGAGGCAGAATTGGTGTGGTTGGTTGGTTGCTGAATTTCATCTGAATGTTGAGTGAGGACAGAGTCCTGGTGTAATTCAGTGTTTTCTCCCCCCACTGTTTCAGTCGATTCTTATATCCTGGAAAAAATGGCAGACTTGGAGACTTTTTTGGAGAGCCTGGCAACCCTTCTTCTGAATTCAGCCCCTCAGGGAGCAAGGATGGGAAATACGAGTTGTTCACAGCGGCGAATGAAGTTATTGCTGAAGAGATTAAAGATCTCATGACCAAGAGTAACAGCTTTCTTTCTCCATTATTGTTATTTTACAATTGCAGTTGCATGTGGTGGTCCTTGAGGCTTTAAGTCCAGAGATTTGGGGCTCTTGGGAGTATTTACTTGTGTTCTCTCTCTTTTCTTTTGTAAAATCATTTTCCTCAAGGCCTGTGCCTTGTTTGCCTGCCTTGCCAGCATTTCACGCTGTCCACCAGCCTCTACTTCTTGAATCAGACTCTCAGCATCTCAGGATATCCTTTTGACTTGTTTTCCTCTGTTTTTGGACCATTCTTCCATTTCTGACTTTTCTTTCATCTTGTCCCATAAAAAATAGGTTTTTTAATTCCGCACATTATTTTATTTTTTCTTCCTCTGTATGTTTTCATCCACTCATGTTTAATTATCATTTCTATGTGAACACTTCCCAGTCTTTGTCTCTAATCCAGCCTTTCTTTCACCAAATGTCTCCACGTAGGTGTCCCACAGTGTGGCTAACGCGCCCCAGACCAGTTTCCTTATCTTTCCCTCCCAGCTACACACCATTTCCACTCCTAGTTTCTGACACGCCCATCCACCTACTTTTTCAAATTCAGAGCTTTCATTTTTGACCCCTTTCTGCTCACATTCAACATCTAATCAGCTATGATGTCCTATTAGTTTAGCCTTAGAAGTACCTCCAAAATCTGACCTCTAATATCTCATCTAGCTCAACCCAGCACCGTTGGTCTTTTGGGCTGGATAATTCTTTGTTGTGGGGACTGTCTTATGCTTTGGAGGATACTTAGCAGCATCCTGGCCTAGACCCATTAGATATCATAACATTCCTCAGTTGTGACAACCAAATATATCTCAGACTTTGCCACATATCCCCTGCAGGGCACAGCTGCCCAGGTGGAGAACTGTTGCTCTGGATCATTGGAACAGCTTCTGCCCGCTGACTCCTGTCTGTCCCCATTCAGGTCTTTCCTTAACTCTTTCACAGTTAATCTTCCTAAAAATCTGAGCTGCTGTTTCTTTTTTTTTTTAAAGATTTTATTTATTTGACAGAGAGAGATACAGCGAGAGGAGGAACACAAGCAGGGGGAGAGGGAGAGCAGGCTTCCCGCAGAGCAAGGAGCCCGATGCGGGGCTCGATCCCAGGACCCTGGGACTATGACCTGAGCCGAAGGCAGATGCTTAACGACTGAGCCACCCAGGCGCCCCTGAGCTGCTGTTTCCTGGCTTAAAGACTACGACTGGTTCCCTGTTGCCTGTAGACTGTCGTTTTTAAACTGTAGCCTCTATCAGAGTTACCTGGAAAAGAAAGGCAACTCTTTAGAGACAGGAAGTGGTTAGTGGTTTCTCGGGGTTGGGGGAGGAGTGCTTGGAATGGGCCCAAGTGATCTTTTAGGGTAAAGGAAATGTTCTAAAATTGGGTTGTGGTAATCGTTTACAACTCTCTAAATTTGCTTAAAAAACATTGAATTGTTTACTTAAAAGGATTGAATTTTATGATCTGTCAGTTATACCCCGATAAAGCTGGTAAAAATCACCTGGAGGGCTTATTAAAACAAAATGCTGGGTTCCACTCTGTAGTTTCTGATTTAGCAGGTCTAGGGTGGTCCCAAGAACCTGTGTTTCTCTTAAGTTCCCAGGTAATGCTCTTATACTTGGTTCTAGAATCATACTTTGAGAATCATGGGCCTCCAGAGTAAAGTCCCAACTTCTCAGTATGGTGTTCAAGACCTTTCGTGGTCTCACCTCACCCATGGGTGGAAGTATTTGTGGTCCTGGACCAGCTGCAGGCCCCATTCGCACCAGATGTCAATCTGGGCTCTCCACCATCTTGAGCTGCTTGACATTTTCACTCAAGGCTTAAAACAAGTTGCTAGCTTTGTCCCTGCTTGCCACAGCCAGAGGGCTTCTTCCAGCCCCATTTCCATTAGCGGGGCAGCTCTCTGAGGGGCATGAGACAGAGGCAGTGGCGGGAAGGAGGGCAGAGAGGCTCAGAGCAGGCAGTTGCACGTGACCTCTTGTACCACTTAGATCTCCAACAAACCTGAACCTTTCCAGATAACACCAGGATATTTTTTTACTGTGGTAGAATATACATGATGCAGACTGGCTCAGTCAGTGGAGCATGTGACTCCAATCTCAGGGTTGTAAGTTGAGCCTCACATTGGGTGTAGAGATTACTTAAAAATAAAATCTTTAGGGGCACCTGGGTGGCTCAGTCGTTAAGCGTCTGCTTTCGGCTCAGGTCATGATCCCAGGGTCCTGGGATCGAGCCCCGCATCAGGCTCCCTGCTCTGCAGGAAGCCTGCTTCTCCCTCTCCCACTCCCCCTGCTTGTGTTCCCTCTCTCACTGTGTCTCTTTGTCAAATAAATGAATAAAATCTTTAAAAAAAAAAATTGCTTATTTAAGCATTACTGAGAACAGATGGCTATCTTATGTTTTTAAACCTGGTTTGGAAGTATCAGCTGATTTTATTCATGAAGAAGAATGCTTTGCTTTAAAAATGATCTTAGTTCAGGAAAATACCTAAAAACTTTCTTTAACTTTTTTTTTTTTTTTGCAGGTGACATAAAGGGTCATCATACAGAAACGCTGCTGGCAGGATCCCTCGCCAAAGCTCTTTGCTGTATCCTTGGTGTTCTAGTAACTCAGAAGGTGGCTTCTGAATATCTTAACTTGTGATAATTTTTAGAACTTTGGGTGTCCATATTAAGGAAAATCATGAATATTCTAAAGTGGTGGGTAACCAAAAAATAGTTTATCTTGGCTTTGGAATATTTTTAAGATAAGCTGTAAAAATTAAAAATTAGAAATGTAAAGAAGGGCGCCTGGGTGGCTCAGTTGGTTAAGCGACTGCCTTCGGCTCAGATCATGATCCTGGAGTCCCGGGATCGAGTCCCGCATCGGGCTCCCTGCTCGGCAGGGAGTCTGCTTCTCCCTCTGACCCTCCTCCCTCTCATGCTCTCTGTCTCTCATTCTCTCTCTCGTAAATAAAAAAAAAAAAAAAAAGAAATGTAAAGAAAACTCTGGTTTCTCTAGTATGTCCTTCTGCTCACAACAAATTCTTCAGGATGCTTGTATCTTGCTTTGACAAATTGGGGAGGGTGTGTTTGTTTTTTCCACCTTCCTTAAGTTAGGAGCAGTGTGTTTGGTATTTATAAAAGCCATTTACTGATCCTGAGGGTTAATAAATGAATGGTTTCTCCAGAGGCCCACAGGTTATTTGCACTTAGCATAGAGTGAACAACACTGTTCTAAGCATGTTGATGTTGTCTGTCTGTGTGATGTTCTCCTAGTCTTTAAAAAAAAAAAAGATTTATTTACTTGAGAGAGAGCATAGAGAGAGAGAGACAGGGAGAAGCAGACTCCCTGCTGAACAAAGAGCCTGACGTGGGGCTCATTCCCAGGACCCTGAGATCATGACCTGAGCTGGAGGCAGATGCTTAACCGACTGAGCCACCCAGGCGCCCCTGTATTCTCCCTGTCTTGTGTAATTTAATTTCTTTGTTTTGGAAAGTATTGAGTGAGCCCTGTGCCCTAGACTTTGGGGATGCCTGGTCATCTGTGTGTGGTTTTCACATTTGTTATCTGGCTTATCGATTTACCTGTCATCCCAGTATTCAAATCTAGGATGTGGTGGATAATCACAGGAGGATAAATCATGGTAATTTTAATTTTCTGGGACAGAGATCATGTTTTGATCAGGTTACAAAGCTCAGTTGATTGCAGTTGGTAATTGGAAACCCCCAATTACTCTTGTGTGTTTATCAGGGGAAATAGAGCATTTCTTTTTTCAGCTAGGTGGATACTGGATTTATTTAAAATTTGAGGTTATTTTTCTGTTTACTATAAATCTTCATGAAATTAAATAATATTTTAAAATTCCTTAATGCTAAAAAAATTAGACATTCATAGAATGAACAAGGAGGTTAAAGGTAGGTGTCTGTGGTTTTTTGTGAGATCTAGAATCCTTATTTTACTGCTATAGTTTTGGTGGACTGTTTAAAAATATTGGGAATAAAACCTGATAATATGTTTAATAAGATTCAGTTAAATCGTAATCTGTCTTTATCTCTTTATAGATAATCAGGAAATGAAATCAAGGATTTTGGTAAGATTAAAAAAATCAGTACTATTTTTATATACCAACTATAACCAATTAGAAAACATAATGGGAAGTAACACCCATTTATAATAAATACGAGTATTCAGAATAAATTAACAAGCAATGTGTAAAATTGATTATGATGAAAAACAAATTCTGAGAGACAGAATTGAAAGAATGGCCATATTTTATTCTTAGATGTCAGTTTTTCCGAAGTTAAACTGTAAATTCAATGCAATCTCAGAATTTTTTTTTAAAGATTTTATTTATTTAGAGCGTGCATGTCACGGGGGTGGGGTGGGGGAAGGGGAGAGGGCGGTGAACAGAGGAAGAGGGACTCTGAAGCCGACTCCACGCCAAGTGCTTTAAGAAATTCAACAGTAAGGGGTGCCTGGCTTGCTCAGTTGGTAGACTGTGTGACTCTTGATCTCAGGGTAGTAAAGTTCGAGCTCCATGTTGGGTGTGGAGATTACTTAAAATCTTAAAAAAAAATTTTTTTTTTTCAATAGCTCAGTGAGAATAGCCAGGTGCTTTCTGAAAGAGAATAATAAGCAGGAACTTGCTGTTAGGCCTCAAAACACATTGCAAAGCTACAATAATAGTGTGGTTCTGGGGCAGTAGTAGGCCCAGAGTAAATAGGGAAGACTAGACTCCAGAAATAAAATCAGGTCCACAGAGGAGTTTGACTTGTGGAAAGGAAGCACTTAAGTTAGTGGGAAGAAAATGAATGATCAGTTAAAGGTGCTGGGCCAATTGGTTGGCCATCTGGGGGAAAACAAAGTTAGATCTCATTGCTCACACCTAAATAATTCTAGTAAAGGTCAGACATGTCACTGGAAAAGTTCAAGTCATAAAAGTGCTGAAAGAAAATACCTGTTTATAATCTCAGGTTGGAGAGGACCTTGCTGAGCATGATGTGAAGCTTAAGACCTCAAGAAAATCAAATCCCCAAAACAAGGATGAAAGAGAAGCTATTAGGAAAAATATTTTCAGCATAGCTACCTGACAGAGGATTAATTTAGTAGTTCTAAAATGAAAAAGAGCTCTTATCAATTAAATTTTATTTTTTTATCTTACTCATTTATTTTTTTAAGTAGGCTCCATGCTGGCCGTGGAGCCCAACTCGGGGCTTGAAGTCATGACCCTGAGATCAAGACCTGAGTTGAGATCAAGAGTCGGACACTTAACCAGCTGAACCACCCAGGCACCCTGCTCTTACCAATTAAATTTTAAAAGCTAAGGTTTACTCTAAAGAAATAGGTAGAAAACATAAGCAGCCTGCAAATGCTAACTGCAAATAACCAGTAAGCATTTGAAAATACATGCAGCCTTACTAGTAAGCAAAGAAATAGAAACATCCAGTAACAGGGTTTTCATTGTGTGCTTCTTGCTCAGCACAAATGGGCAGTTTGCAGTGCTGATGGCAGGGTTGGGGATGGCTTATTCTCTTGCATTGCCAACGGGAGGGTGAATTGGTACAACTTTTTTGGAGGAACGTTTGGTAACCTCTGTTAAGAGGTATACTTCAGCAATCTCCCTGATTATTTTAGGAGCTAGTCAGAGAGTTGTGTCAAGCGTATATGAGAATGTTCACCAGAGCATTGTCTAAAACAGGATTGGAAGCCGCTGCAGTTTCCTCTATAGATAATTGGCTCAGCAGTGGACTCTATGAAGTTAGCCCAAAGGATGATACACATCCAAATTCACTGATACAAGATTCCCCACTCCCCCAGATACTGTGGAACCAGAAAGCAAGTTGCAGCAGCGCCTGGCTGGCTCAATGGGTAGAGCATGTGACTCTTGATCTCAGGGTCGCGAATTTGAGCCCCACGTTGGGTGCAGAGTTTACTTAAAAAAAAAAAAAAAAAATCAGGTTGCAGAGCACTAGATAATCATCCCGGGTGTGTCTGTGCACGCACCCACCTAGCTGTTGCCTGGAACTATTAACAGGGACTCTCTCTTGGAGGGTAGGGACTGGGGAGGTTCTTGCCGCCATCTTTACGCCGTACGTATTAGTTAAGAACGGTAACCGGGCAGGCAGATTAGGGAAGCTGCGCTGGTTGTGTCTGCAGGGAGACCTCGGCTATGCCTGCGAGGTATTCATGCGGATATGATTTTTAGGTGATCAAGGCTGCAGAAGACAGCGCGCTGCAGTATATGAACTTCATGAATGTCATCTTTGCAGCACAGAAGCAGGTGAATTGGGAGCATCCTTTTTTTTTTAGTTTTAATTTGAATTCCAGCATAGTTAACATACAGTGTTATATTAGTGTCAGGTGTGCAATATCGTGATCCAACACTCCCATGCGTCACCTGGTGCTCATCACAACACGTGTGCTCCTTAGTCCCCACCACCTGTTTCCCCCACCCCCCTCCCCTTTGGTGACCATCAGTGTGTTCTCTGTAGTTAAGAGCTTGTTTCTTGGGTTGCCTCTCTCTCTCTCTTTTTCCCCCCTTGGGAGCATTCTTTTAGAAAATATTTGTTTCATAATGAATTTTATTTTTTGAATGACCTACATACAGAGATATTTTGACTAACTGGCCTTATCAGTGGATGAAGAATCTGGAATTCATATTTTGTACTAGTCATTTCTCAATTTTGGGTCCCCAGAAAAAGGTACACTGAAACACAGTTTTGCCTATGGTTTCATGGTATTAGTGTAACCCCGTTTAGCACATCCTTGGACCTCAGGCTAAGAGTCCCTAGTTTACAGTTTTGCTGTGTGCCTTGCCTCAATTCCTCTATCTCTTTGCTTTAGGGAGGTCTTATCAAGAATTGATATTTTTTACTTTGCAGATAATTGAATGAATTTACACTAATTCAAATGAATTATCACTAATACATTTTCTTTGATATGGTTAAAGAATAAACTTTCTTAAAACTTAAGTTTTGGGGCTCCTGGGCGGCTCAGATGGTTAAGCGTCTGCCTTCGGCTCAGGTCACGATCCCAGGTTCCCGGGATCGAGTCCCGCATCGGGCTCCCTGCTCAGCGGGGAGCCTGCTTCTCCCTCTGCCTCTCTTTCTCTCTGTCTCTGACTCTCATGAATAAATAAATAAAAACTTTAATAAAAAAAACCTTAAGTTTTAACCCCAAATGCTGCCATATTCATGCCTAACAGTCTCTGTGTCGTAGCAGCAGCATGATGTAGTGAAAAGACCACGGGCTTTGGGGACAGACAGACTGGGGTTGACAGCACTGCCCCTCCCTCCCCCTGGCTCTGTGGCCACAGCCTGGCCAAGGCGTGGGTGCTTCAGCTGCAAAATGCAGATTGAATATCTGCTTTGCAGAGTTATTCTGCATATCAAATAAGCTGTTTTAGGAATAGTCTAAAAAAAAAATAGCACATAGTAGGTTCCCAGTGTAAGTCATTATTTTATTATTCCTATAATGTTTTCGGAATATTCATTTCAGAATATTTTGATCGATGCCTGTGTTTTAGACTCGGATTCAGGACTCCTCCAACAGGTACGTGTTCAGTGGAAGTGTGGTAGTGGTGGTCTGGGGAGCATGGTGTGTTCTCTTTATTGTTAAATGTCTGTCACCAACGTTCACACATTTTTAGGAATTAGCCTGTGTGAGGCTGTCGCTTAGAGCACTAACATCTCTCTGGTCCTTATTTTTTTATTGAAGTAAGTTGACACACAATGTCACATTAGTTTCAGGTGTACAACTCTCTGGTTCCTTCAAAATTTTTATTTACGTTTTACATAATGATTGATGCTGTAAAAGTGAGTCACATATTGACATGAATTCAAGCAACACGGGAAAGTATTTTTTAAAGGGGTAAAAAATCCCTTCAAATCCTATCATCTTAAAATTACCGTTGCTAATATTAGGTGAACAGCGTAACAGATCTCTATAGGTATAGATGGAAGAATGGATTGCTAAGCAGAGAGTTTAATAAAGATAGGATTGTACCCCAGATCTGTGCTGTCCTATATGATAGTTATATGGCCGTTGAGCTCTTGAAATGAGTCTGGTGAATTGAGGTGTACTGTTAAGTGTAAAACACACACTGAATTTCAAAGACTTAATATGAAGAACAGAATGTAAAATAAAGATTTTTATATTGATTACATATTAAGCTGATAATACTTTGGATATACTGAGTTAAATAAAATGTTATTAAAATTAATTTTATCTTTTTTTTTTTCCTTTTTTTATGCGGCTAGAAAATTTTAAGTTTCACATGTTGCCCATATTTTATTTCTGTTGGACAGCACTGTTAGATGTTGCTTTTCAAATATATGAAACTGCAATCTAATGTAACCAAAAAGGGGAAAAAAGAAACAAATAAGACTGAAGAAATTGCTGAACTTTTGATAAATGTTTTTTTCGACCACAAGAAATATTCTTTGCTAAAAGATCAGTTAAAAGCACAAAACTGGAAAATGCTGAGTTTAGGATACTGCCGAGGACACAGAGTGGGAAGGGGAGATATGATTAGAAAGTATACTAACGTCAGAGGTTCCAAATTGTCCTATTTCTTAAGCTTGATGGTAGATACATGGTGTTCATTTTATTTAAACCATACTTACATGTTATGTATATATACTCTTGCACATATGGTTATATTTCAGAATTAAAAAATCAAAAATGTTGAATACATTTTTTAACTGCACATTTCACTCTACACAGTGTCTGCTAACTCCTAGAAGATCTTGGCTGTACCCTGAGTTTAAATGCTCTGCCTCCCCGACCCTCACATCGCTATGTCTGGGCCAGATGCAGGCTCTCTGTGTTCCAGACTTGCATAGTCAGCTGCTCAGGCAGCATCTCCCCTTGGACATCCAGAAGCATCTCCACTTTAACTTGTCTGAAGCAGAACTCCTTATTTTTTCCATGTTGCCTCCCAGGGGCCTCCCCATCGCAGCAAGTGGCAGCTCAGTTCATCAGCCAAAAATCCAAGCCAAAATCCTGACTCTGCCTTGTTTCTTCTCTTCCTCCCTTTCCAACCCATTAGCCAATCCTTTTGACTTGATCTTTGAAATAGTCCCTGAATCCCACCATATGTCTTCTCCTTCGTTGCTACCCCTCAAGTGGAGGATTGTAGTATCTGTTAACTGGTCTCTGTTTCTACGCTTACCCCGCCCACTGAAGTCCGTTCTCAAGACAGTCAGAATGAAGCTTTCAAAATATAAATCAGATCTTGTCACTCACCTGCTTAAAACCCTCGCATGGCATCTCCTCACACATAGACTAAAACCCAGATTTCTGCCATGGCCGTCTGTACCCCCCGCACAATATGGTTTCTGGGTATCTCTTTGTCCCCATGGAATCTCCCTCTTTACTCCACCCACACTGGCCTCCTTGCTATTGCTTTAAAACTACAGGCCTGCCACCGCCTAAGGGTGTCTGTGTTTGCTGTTCCCTCTGCTTCTAAGGCTTCTCCTCAGATATTTGCTTGGTTTACTCTCTGCCCTCATTTGGGTCTCTGCTTCTGTGTCACCTCCTCAGAGAAGCCTTCCCTGACCATCCAGTGTCACTCCTTGTCCCCTTACCCAACTTCATTTGTCTTCATAGAAGTGATCATAACCTCTGACATTATTTCAGCATTTACTTAACTGATTGACTCTCTGTCTTTCCCCCGCTTGCACCCGAGTGTCCATCAGTGGATGAACGGAGTTAAATAAGTTGTGGTATAACCATACGATAGAATATTATTTGGTCATAAAAAGGAATAAAGTACTGATCTTGCCACAATGTAGATAAACCTTGAAAACATGATGCTAAAGGAAAATTGTACGAGCCCATTTATCTGAAATGTCCAGAATAGGCCAATCCATGGAGATAGACCGTGGGTCACTGGTAGCCTAGGAGTAGGGGGTTGGGAATAACTGCTAATAGGTATGAGGTTTCTTTTTTTTTTTTTTAAAGATATTATTTATTTGACATAGAGAACACAAGCAGAGGGAGACAGGGAGAAGCAGGCTCCCTGCTGATGAGCAAGGAGCCTGATGTGGGACTCGATCCCAGGACCCTGGGATCATGACCCAGGCCGAAGGCAGCCGCTTAACTGACTGAGCCACCCAGGCGTCCCTGAGGTTTCTTTTTGGGGTGAGGAAATGTTCTGGAACTAGATAGTGCAGTTGCACAACTCTGAAGACAGTAAAAAGTAGTGAAGCCCACACTTTAAAGGGTGAATTTTATGGCCGAGCATAATCTCAAAGCTGTTGTTAAAAATATAATGAAACTGAGTAAACGTGGCTGGAATAAAAATTTCATCAGTAGTAAACACAGAGGAGAAGGGGCATGTACTGTGCTCACTAAGGTCTTCAAAGGGTGGAAGAGTGTGGTGCCTGTGGCAGAAATAGTTGAACACCTTGAGAGGTAGCAGGAAGTTTCTGGTCCTCACGCACCCTTGGGAAACCGTGCCCTTTTGATTGGCACCGTCATATCCCCCTCTCCTTTGGAGACCTGAAGCATTGCTGGTGAGAATTACATCTCTCTGGAAAAGGTAAGCGAGTGCCAGTTTGGCAGAGAGCCCTTTGGATGTCTTGCAGGCTTGTGACATCACGGGGGGACTGTACTTGAAGGTGCCTCAGATGCCGTCCCTTCTGCAGTATTTACTGGTAAGGAACCTAACACCTTGCGTCTGGGTGAGCCCCTCTCCGCCCCCCGGGGAATGAAGGGGAGCACAATGGCTGATGCTAGTAAGTGGGAGGAGGAGTAGATGGGTGCTAGAAGTGGACACTTCGGGTCGTCTTCGAAGGGAGCTGCATACAGACTGTTGGAGGACTGTTCAGACAGTCCTACAACAGCTTGGGGAGGTGCTCTGTAACTGCTGAATGAATAACGCAATTCTTGATGGACTTCTAAGGAAAATCCTAATTTATTATTCACCTTAGTGATCACTGGCTAATATCTGATACCTGTGTTGTAACTTCTGATTATTTTTCCCCATGTTTTAAATAAAATTTCCTTGCCTCCTTTTTTTTTTTTTTTTAAAGTGGGTTTTTCTTCCTGATCAAGATCAAAGATCTCAGTTAATCCTCCCACCCCCCGTTCATGTGGACTACCGGGCAGCTTGCTTCTGCCATCGAAATCTCATTGAAATTGGCTATGTCTGTTCTGTGTGCTTGTCAAGTAAGTTCAAGTGCAGACTTTTCTGTGTTGGGGGCGGGGGTGGCAGAAAATAAGTCAACTGGGCGGTTTTTTTCAACATCCTGTTTGTTTGTTTTTCATATTTACAGTATTCTGCAGTTTCAGTCCTATCTGTACCACGTGCGAGTAAGTATCCCTGGGCTGGTGTGGCTGGCTCACGCGGGAGAGATTCAGAGCTCCTAAGAGGGTCTTCCTCTCTGTGTCGTTACAGGACAGCCTTTAAGATTTCTCTGCCTCCTGTGCTGAAGGCCAAGAAAAAGAAACTGAAAGTGTCCGTGTGATCATACAATCCCCCCAGTCTTTTAGAGCCTATTAATAGAAATTGTATGGTGGAATGTTAGGAGGCCCTGAAAAAAATACAGTGCGTGTGGGATAATTTTGAATGAAGTTCCTTACAGGAAAGATTTCTAGACCATTATCCTCATGCTGTGCTTTTGGGAGACTGCTTTATTTGAGGGGGTCATTCTATGCAATCTTTTCTGACTGGTTTTTGTCCACAGAGGGAGAAGAAAGCACAAATTAGTTAGTGACTTTTTTTTTTTTTTTTAATGAGATGCTCATTTTGCCAGTCAGCCTGGCCTGACTCATTGTAGGCTTTTGACTTTGTAGCTGAGTCTGGGTTCTGCCTGTGAAATGTACAACCGGTGAAATTTGAGCGCAGTTTTGGAAAAAGCAACCACGCAGTAATGGCATTAATCCACATAGACCATCTTCCTTGAATCAACAGCTGACTTTGACGATAGTCCTGTAAATATAATGCTTATTGTCTAAGTTGAGATTTAGCTTTGGATACTAGCAGATAGTTTTGCTTTTGTCGGACATCACTGCGCGTTCGGACATAGTCATCCACATAATAACTGTCTGTCGCTGCATAAGTACAAAGTCTGATCTTGAGTGAGGAGAGAGGGTGCAGTACTCTGGCAATGACTTTCTCTTCAGAGATAGTTGGGTGAAGAGCTTATGTGTGAAAGCCGGTGTCTGGGTTTGGAGGGGGAATTTCTTGGTGGAGAATGGATTCTTTTTTTTTTTTTTTAAAGATTTATTTATTTGACAGAGAGAGACAGTGAGAGAGGGAACACAAGCAGGGGGAGTGGGAGAGGGAGAAGCAGGCTTCCCGCCGAGCAGGGAGCCCGATGTGGGACTTGATCCCAGGACCCTGGGACCATGACCTGAGCCGAAGGCAGACGCTTAACGACTGAGCCACCCAGGTGCCCCAGGAGAATGGATTCTTTACGGTTCAGTACTGTCCCCCAGATAGAATTCTTTAATTTTGTAATGAGGAAAAAAAAGCATTAATGTTGGAGAACTGTTCTCTAGAACAAGTGCGATAGGTTCAAAAGAAAAATTATCTGTAATTTCAACAAGAAAAAACTTATTTTTCTATGTAACCTTGAGGTTATTAGAAGTCTTTTCAAATTCCATCACAGAAGAGTTTTCAGGAATGGTGGCTGGTTTGGTTTGGTTTTAAATGTATATTGACAAAAACCCATTTGTGTACACAATTTTGTATGTAAGTAAGATTTTAATTTTCTCTTTCTACCATCTCAGAAGCTGAGTCTCATTTAAGTAATTTGGTATTTGGCTAGATGATTTCAGGTAGATTTTGTACTTTGGATTTATAATTTTGTTAAATTCACACAGGTTTTGGTTATAATTTGGCAAATATTTGTTAATCCTTGAGTTTGAGAATCTTATTTGTCTTTTAGAAATAATATTTAATATTTCACAGCCTAAGTGTAATGGAAATCACTGTTTTAAGTCTAGGAAGTCATCAGATATCTAAAAGATGAAGAATTTCAAAGAAGCTGATCAAGTTCATGTTACAATTTTTTTGTTTGAGATGTTTTGTGTACTGGCTTAATTCTGCTTAGGTTTTATTTTTAACTGTTGTGTTTATGGTTTATATAAATTTTTATAATAAAATAATTTAAATTTTCACATTTGCTTAAGTTATTTTCTCTTATTCATTGTTTATTTCATGCTAATTCAACTTACCTTCAAGTTTGTACTTCACCTGGATTTGGTCAAATGTCAATTTTTTATTCAACTCTGGAGAACTTTTATTTTTTTAAGTAAGCTTTATGCCTAGTGTGGGGCTTGAACTCACAATCCCAAGATCAAGAGTCACATGCTCTACTCAATGAGCCAGCCAGGTACCCTGAAGAACTTTAATTTAAAATCTTGCTAAAACTATATATGAAAATATTATTACAAATACTGCATAATAATAGATTGGTATGAAGTATTTAATACAAAGTTTCTAAGTATGAGACTATTAGAAGAAAGATTTGATGTTTGCTTGTAATTTTATATTGGAGCAAGGTTAGCAAAATTTTAAATATTTGGTATTTTCATTGGATAAAGCAAGCTAGTATAATGTATGTTTTGATGTCATAAAAGTAGGACATTTATTATCTCATAAGAGTTAATTTTAAAACCATGAAATTATTCTCTTATAAATAGATAGCTGTGACTATCCAGTCTGCTTTCTAAAGGTGGTCCCTTGGGCTACCTTCTGTAGGTAAGTCCACAAAAAGATTCCTGCTCCCTTGCTTTTTTAAAAAAAAGTTATTTTGGGGGCGCCTGGGTGGCTCAGTCGTTAGGTGTCTGCCTTCGGCTCAGGTCATGATCCCAGCGTCCTGGGATTGAGCCCTGCATTGGGCTCCCTGCTCAGCAGGAAGCCTGCTTCTCCCTCTCCCGCTCCCCCTGCTTGTGTTCCCTCTCTCGCTGTCTCTCCGTCAAGTGAATGGATAAAATCTTAAAAAAAAAAAAAGTTATTTTGTTTTTCAAGTAATCCAAACATGATTTGTAAGGCTGTTAGTAATTCCTGGAAGAGTGCATGGAATGCTTCCAGCAGTAATGGAGAAGAGAGTAAATATACCAATGACATTTTTATATGAGAAGTACAGTATTTAAAAATCAGGGCTTTTCATTAATAGTTGAATTACATTTTATGCCTACGTTTTATATTAATAGAATTGATTACAGATCATTTTAAGAACAGTTTTCTAATTAATAATGTCATTGTACCTCACAAATGACATTTTTTTTACTTTGAACCCCCCCCCTTTTTAACTGTAATGCCCTAGAATTCCGCAGTTCATTCCACTACTGGCTAAGTAGCTTAATGCAACCAAAAGCAGAAAATAAAAACATACTTTTAATAAGTACTATTTTTTCTGATTAGAACAGAAAACGATTGCATGCTTTTTAAAGAAAAGAAAGTACATAAAACTAGGGGGGGGGGAGAGAAAACCTGCCTTAATCATTCCTCCACCACCCACCCAGAATTGGGAGGGTTAGAGAATCCCTATCTGGTGCATTTCTTCCTTTCTCTTTCTTTCTTTTTTTAGATTTATTTATTTATTTTAGAGAGAGCAGGGGGAGGGGCAGAGGGAGAGAGAATCTCAAGCAGACTCCCTGCTGAGGGAGGAGACTGGCGCAGGGCTTCATCCCATGCATGACCTCAAGATCATGACCTGAGCGGAAAACAAGAGTTGGACTCAACCGACTGAGCCACCCAGGTGCCCCCGGTGCATTTCTTTACCGTAGCAGGATGTCGCAGCTGGAAGAATTGACAGGTTTATCTGTTGTTTGGTAAGGAAGGACTTTTCAACTGACCTAAAACAAAAATGTTCTTATTTTGAGTGTCTGATGAGTGATATTTGCCAATACAGGTAACTGTGGTACTAACGATGCCTACCTACAGTATGTGACAACATGGCAATAATGTTAAGGTCTAGGAAAATAGAACTCAGTGAGGATAAAGATCTGTAGTTTATTTATTTATTTAAAGATTTTATTTATTTATTTGACAGAGCGAGAGGAGCAACACAAGCAGGGGGAGTGGGAGAGGGAGAAGCAGGCTTCCCGCTGAGCAGGGAGCCCGACGTAGGGCTCGATTCCAGGACCCCGGGATCATGACCTGAGCCACCCAGGCACCCCAAGATCTGTAGTATATTTAAAACACCCCCACGAACATTTGTGTTTGCCTAAGTTACTTTCTCATGTTTCCCCTAGATGTAAAAGCATTTTGACCCAGGGATTACAAATAATTCAAGACAACGATTTTGACCCAGGGATTACAAGTAATTCAAGATAACGATTTTCCTCAATGAAAATGCTTCTTACTCTCTTGTTAAGGAATAGTAAATAACAGCAATGTGTCTGACAGCCCTCCTGTTAGTAACGTTCTCCTAGGCTTTAGTCCCAGATAGCAAGAGATATAAACACTCTGCAGTTCTCCTAGAGCTGATGTGCGGGGTGGTGGCCGGGATTTCCTGCCAGTCTTACACTGCACAAATCCCACGATTTTCCAAGAGTGTAAGAACAAAGCAAAGCTCGGTGCAAGGCCTTTGTAGAACCTCAGCTTTCATATTGCTTTCAGAATGTTAGGTTTGCTGATCACCTAATACGGCAAACATTTATTTGGCATTTGCTGTTGGCAGGTATCATGCAGATGTGCAGCTCCTCTCAGCTAACTGGCATACCATCCCTCTGAGAGCTAACAATGAGTGAACATTTATTGAGTGCCTACTGTATGCCAGGCGTTGGTCTAGACTCATTAGTATGTTAGTTCATTTAATCCTCACACAATCCTATCAGGGAGGGACTAATCTCTCCCTTCTTTGGATGAGGAAACTCAAGTTTGGAGAGGCTAGATGAGCTGCCCCAGGTCACTTAACCGCGGAAGGAGGGAGAAATCCCACAGCGACCTCAGAGCCTGCACGCCTCGACACGGAACTGTAATAAGGCGTGGAATGCTTTGAAGCTATTGACATAAGAATTCAGATACTTTGGCATCTGTCCTAACGCTGGGCAAAACGTTTTGTATTCTTTGATAAGATCTGCTTTCGGAGTGCTGACAGCTCTGTGCAGCTTTCTGCAGCTCTGTGCGGTAAAAACCACACAAACTCTTAAAAAAACACTGGGAGAAGGATAACAGTTCAGCAGCGCTACACAATTGCAGCACTGCAGCCTCACCCCCTTTTTGTCTTTCTCCCAAAGTCCCCATAAAAATCAAGTTTATTAAGGAGCGTGTTTAAGAAGCCAGTTCCCCTGGGCTCGCTCATGCAGTGTGACTGAGTTAACTCTAGGCTGGGGGAGCTCTTTAAACTGGACGCAGACTCTCACTTTTTCCTGATCCCTTGGGTTGCGATTGAGGGCCCAGGGCCTGTGGGCGGGGCCGGGTTGCTGGGGCCCGGGCCGGGGGCGGGCTCTCTCCTGCTGTCCGCCCAATCACCGCCCGCCGCTCTTCAGACCCGCGGCCGATTGGCGGTTGCCATAGCTCCGGTTGGCTTGACAGGATGGCGGCGGCGGGGCGGCGCGGGCCGGGTCTTCGGGTCCCGTGCTTCCCGGCGTCTAAGGCGGGCGGGATGCTGTGACGCGAGCCCCGCCAGGCCTCAGGCATGGGCTTGCCGCCGCCCTCCCCTCTGCTCTTGGGGCTCCTCCTTCTGCAGGGCGTCCTGAGGCCGCTGGGGGGGGACCTGGGTGTGTACCGCAGGACAGGGGCCTGCAGGCCGGGGGTGGGGGTGAGTGGGGGCTGGGGACGAGGCCTTTAAGGGGCCAGACTTGGGACTCCTCCCGGAGTCCTTGCAACTAGTAAGTCCGCCCTTCCCCTTCCTTCCCGCCTAGTTTTCATTCCTGCTTTCATCCACATGACCGGCCCCGCGGTCAGTGCGTCCCTGGTCGGAGGCACCGAGGATGTGACCGTGTCCCTGGCCCTGCTGCAGGACAAGGAAGGTAAGACGTCGGGCCCTTCCTTTGGGGTGGCGTTTTGGGGGGCGCAGGGCCAGGCCGCCCAAGGAGCCGGCGAGGTGGCATCGCAGGAGGTGGCGTCCCTGGGGTGCCCGGCCGCCGTCCCCTGCAAAGTCGCCATGGGAGCAGGGGTAGGGGGCTGCTGTGGACCAAAGAGGACCAACGGACAGGCTCAGGGATAGAAAGCTTGGGACAGTAATGGCTAGCATTCACTGAGCTATCTGTCTCCTGTGCTTTATATGCATCCCCACATTTTCCTAGTAAGAACACTAATATCCTTTCATGCCATTTAACAAATGCAGACACTACAGTTCAGAGAGGTTGTCACTTGTCCGAAGTTGCACAGCTTGTGGTGGGCCCAGTCCTGGGCTTGGAAAAGGATTCCCTCCTAGGGAGCCTGATTCCAGCGTGCACACCCTTAGCTGCTGAGCAATACGGCCTTGCATCCTAATCTTCTCTCCTAAAGGATTATTGCCGGTTCCAGCTTGTGGAGTGCTGACCAATGAGACAGAAGACTGGAGCTTGACTGTGACGCCCACTGTGATAAGACCAGAGGTAAAAATGTTCTTGGTAGCACCTGCAGAGACCCACAGTTAGTGTTTCTGCAGTGCTCTCGTGGTTGGACATGATACAGTTTTCTCTGGGCTTGGAACTACCATGAAACTGGGGGTTATCAGATCTACAGGCACCCGCCCAGCCCAGAGGTGCTAACGCTAGGGTCAGGGGTCCTTGGACGAGTTTCAAGAAGTTTGTGAACCTTCTGAAATGATCTGTAACATTATATGTGCATTTTGATGAGAGGGTTGGCAGCTTCCATCAGATTATCAGATGGACCTGTGACTCAAAAATCTTCATGAACCACTGACCTCACCCAGCTCTGAGCTTACGTGTAAGGATACTCAAGCCGGAAGAGATGAAATATCTTCAATTTAATAAATGTTTTATTGAGTACCTAGTATGTGCAAGACACCAACTCTGGAGATAAAGGCTGAGAAAGGCAGACTTTACTTGCATCCCAGGAACTGGGGATTGTTCTCATTGACTTTTTGTGTGTGTATTTAATTTCTGCTGATATGCTGGTAGGAGATAAAGAAAGTAAAAAGACGTGGACACACTGAGTTAATTTACCAGACAGACCTGTGTTTAGTCTTCTCTATCCAAAAGTGGCTTGCTTTTCTGTT